TTAAGTAAAGTTTGATCTAAAATGATTGACAAAGGGAAACTGCTCCCATATTCTTGTCCCTTTGGTATCCCCAGGGCAGGGACACAAGTCGTGGGGTTCAACAGTGAGCGATGACAGTGTTGGAGGAGAGGGAGGCCTAGAGTCTCCTACTGCCAGCACTAGTGAGTACAAATTGGTGTCGTTAAAACAGATTACATACAGCAGAGTATCTTATTTGTAGATAACCATCGCAGACGCATCGCAGTATGTGTGAGCATCTTCATATGGCAGAGCATATATTGATATTATATTTATCCTAGGTGAAATCAATAAAATGGCTCGGACGTCGTCCACTGGAACAATGTCGTCCAATGAGGATGCAGATGAGAAAGACGGGAATGTGACCTCATTTGAAACTCAAAGTAAGATCTACAGATTTTCCTCTCTTGATGTGACTACACAGTAACATGGCCATAAGAAATGTCTTATTTGTATAAATTGTGTGTACGATCTTTGTCTTCAGATATTAATGGCATGGATCCTGATGTGGTGGTGTCCACCAGACCTTTCCGTAACATTGGCCTGTCTAAAGCGGCACAAACCCACCGACTGAGGAAGCTAAGGACTCCTTCGAAGTGCCGCGAGTGTGACAGCTACGTTTACTTCCAGGGGGCTGAGTGTGAGGAGGTGAGAAGTCTTTCAGGATACGAATGTGCAGCTCTTGAAGCATTATGATTCGACAGTATTCCACAAGGTCAACACCTTCTTCTCTGTCCGCAGTGTTTCCTGGCGTGTCACAAGCGCTGTCTAGAGACTCTGGCCATCCAGTGTGGCCATAAGAAGCTGCAGGGCCGCTTGCAGCTGTTTGGCAGGGAGTTCTCTCAGGTAGCCAGCTGTGCCAGTGACGGCATCCCCTTCATCATCACCAAATGTATCTCGGAGATAGAGAGACGGGCGCTCAAGATGAAGGTGAGAAAGTGCTTTTATGCTTTAAAGTGAGTTCTTTGCCCTCTGTCACACAGATTTTTTTCTAAACTGTCAGTTTCCTCTTCGCAGGGCATCTACAGGGTGAATGGAGTGAAGACTCGCGTGGAGAAGCTGTGTCAGGCGTTTGAGAATGGCAAGGAGCTGGTAGAGCTGTCCCAGTGTTCACCACACGACATTAGCAACGTCCTCAAGCTTTATCTCAGACAGGTACTGAAACGTCCAGCATGTGCAAGTAAAACACAGTATGCTTTAGTGTTTTGTTGGCCCTGAGAACTATGGCAGCAGCTAATGTGGATTTAATAAACAAATGTACCATTACATTTACATCAGTATGTTAGATTTAAGGTTGTTTTTCCTTTTTTCTTTCTTATATAATAATCAAAACCAGTGTAAATATTATAAAGTAGTTTAATCCTTTTATTGTATTGGACAAATAAAAGGGGGATTCATACAAAAAATACATCATATGTTAACCAATCAGTCCATTAACAAGGAAAGAAAAATCCATTCAGTTAAAAGCAAATGGAGCCCCTTCAGTCCTGAAAGAGACCCTTTTTTTTATCTTGTGCTCACAGCTAATAGATTATTAATAATAATAATAATAATAATAATAAAAATAATAATAATAATAATAATAATTAGATTGTCAGTGAATGGGTTTGAATGCTCGATTCACAAATGGTTTTAAAAATAAAATACAAAGTGAGCTTTTGTTTGTAATAATAATTGCTTTTTATTTTAGTTAATAAATCTCAGACTGAGTTAAATGTATTGGTGTGTTTTTAATAATCCCGCTTTTAATTATTGGGTTAAATATAATTACTCAAAATACAAAAATAGCTTTATGGTCATTTGCAAGGCTCTCTTGCGCCTCCATATGTGTTCATACATAATTCAGCCCCTCAAACACTTTTTCCTGTATCTGTCACCAGCTGCCAGAGCCCATCATGCCGTTTCGCCTGTACAACAGTCTCATGGGTTTGGCCAAGGAGAGTCTGCAGTGTGATGCAGACACAGCAGCGGGAGAGGAGCCAGAGTCAAACAGTATTAACCCAGCAGTGGGCAAGGGGCCAGAACTGGTGGATCTGGGTCCTGACACCGAGCCAGAAGTCCTGGTCCTGGTGGACAAGCTGAAGGCTCTTCTGAAAGATCTGCCCAAGGCAAACATCGCTACTCTGCGCTACATTATTCGACACCTGCGGAGGTCAGTGATTTATAAAAAAATAAAAAATAAAAATAAAATAATAAATTTAAAACTGCAGAAAAATGAAAGACTAAGTTCTGTGTAATAGTATCCAGTGCACCCATTTATTCTTCATCCTCCCACTATCTTCCTCCTGTCAGAATTGCTGAACTGGAGGAAGATAACAAGATGAGTCCCAGCAACTTGGGGATTGTGTTTGGTCCGTCTCTGATGCGTCCCCGTCCAACCGGGGCCACGATATCTCTGTCCTCTCTGGTTGATTACCCCCATCAGGCCCGCATCGTGGAGGCCCTCATAGTCTTCTATTCATCCATCTTCCAGTCCAAAACCTCCCAGTCCCATAAAACCAGCCGCACTGCTTCCACCTCCACTCAGCAGGTAGGACGCCCCTTGCAGTACGGGTGGATCTCCATCTCTCTAATAATGAACTTGTAGCAGACAGTATGTCCTAACATTTTATATAACTGTATGAACTGTAGCATGACATGACAATGAAATACACTGCTAAGCTCTTTTGGGGGTGTTGTGGGAATTTTTTAAATATGAAATAAATTAATAAGCAGTGGTCCTGATTTAAGACGCTGCAGCCAAATATGTGCTAATTTCTCATTTTCATTGTATCCAATTATTCAGTTCACACCCCTGTGTATCGATTAATAAAACATATTCTAGCATCAGCTGTTTTTCACCAGGTATTATGACCAAATATCTAAAATACTGGCTAAAACTATAAAGACTAAACTAAGATGGTAAACACTGTACCTGCATCTGCATGTTGGTGTGAGCATGTGAACCTGCTCCCGTTAGTGTTTAGTACACCTTCACACAGCCGCTAGCATAGCCATTCACTCTTAATGTAGTTACAAATACATCGTTTAGACTAATTAAAAGTCGTGTGTGTGTGTGTGTGTGTGTGTGTGTGTGTGTGTGTGTGTGTGTGTGTGTGTGTGTGTGTGTGTGTGTGTGTGTGTGTGTGTGTGTGTGTGTGTGTGTGTGTGTGTGTGTGTGTGTGTGTGTGTGTGTGTGTGTGTGTGTGTGTGTGGATCTATAACAGATCTTTGAATACAAGAAGAGGAGTCCTCATTTGGAAAATGGGGGCCTGCTTTACTCTAAAGAATGAAAGATTCTTTCAGAGAAGGTGCCAGTAATTCATGGGCATGAATAAATGCTGGTGTAACTCCTTTCCTGGGTAAAGGCAAGAGGCCAAAAAACAGAAGTGCTAAAATGGCAGCACATCCTCATCCAGATTATGACCTACAGTCGCGATTCATTTGAATACAGCTCCAGCTAAATTTCCATGTTTGATATGCTGTCCTTAATAAGAGGCAAAAATAACTTCCAAACTTAATAAACAGTCTCCTCATTTCCTCCCCCTCCTGGTGCAGGATACTGTTGCCGATGACAAGGTGGAGAGCTCCGCTGATGGAGAGGAGGATGTAGGCAGAGAGGAGCAGAATAAACCAGAGTCTGACAAGACAGAAGAGGGATGTGGTAAGGTTTTATAAAGCCTAGGTTGCATAATACTGTTGTAAATGTAAATGAACTATGTTCCCCTTTTAAGAGTGAAAATCAAAAGGTCACTCATGTCCTTGTACAGTAGCTCCTATTTAGTTCATGCTGTTTTTAAAGTAGGTGGAAAACATTTATCATATACAAAATGTAATTATCTCTTGCCTTTAATGTTTAACTGCAGCAGGTGTTTGTCTAACCGCTGGCCTCTTTATCCCTGTTCAGAAAGCTCTCTAGGGTCGCTGGGGTCTAGCGAGCAGCTCCCCGACTCTGACTCCGAGCTGGATGAGAGTGGCCAGAGGACCGCACACTCTCGCAGACTGATGAAGCAGGAGAGTGAGGTGAGCGAGGTGAGCATGGACGACGACCAGCTGAGCAACAGGGACAGTCTGGACCTGTCCAGCCAGTCTGCAACCCACACCGACCAGGACCAAGATCCAGACCACGACAATACGGAGGGAGCGGAGCCCCCCGCACTGCCAGACAGCGGGCCCCCAGATGAGACTGGGGCAGAGCAGGACCTGAGTGCGTCTTTGGCTGAGCTCAATGTGAACCAGTCCAACAACAACTTCCCCTGTTCCCCCATTTTAAGCCTGTCAGGGCGTCCACTGGCACCTCTGTATGGAAAGAAATTACCCCTGACCAGAAACAGGGACAGCGAGCCTGAGTTTGTCTGATATTATCAAAATGATTGGGTGTTTGTCAAGTCTGTTAGTTTGAGGTGACAGGAATCTGTTTTTTTTTTTTTTTTTTTTTATACATTAATTTCCATTAAACCCAGGAAGGATATTGTGTAGTATAGTAAAAGTTTTTAATCTGTACAACTGTATTGATCTATCCTGGCAGTGAAACTCTGCACGCTTCCTGCTGTTTAATGCAATTAGTCTTTATTTCAAGAGGTGTTGACTCAAATGATTCATATGTATTTTTGTGCCAGTTTCTATGTTAAAGTTTTACTTGTTCTCTTTACAAGCTTAAGGAAGAGTGGGGAGCCAGTCACCTCTGAATGTGAGCAATGTCCAAACTTTCAAAGCAACTTTTAAAAGTGCTGCTGTTTATTTTTCAGCACTAAAATCTGACAAAATAAATTTAGAAGTTTCTTATAAATGTTGTCTTTATTACCTTGTGACTGTTTGTTCTATTTTAATAAACATTTTATTTTAAAATCGTTTCATATTCTGTGTGTTCTACAGGTCAAAGACAAATAGGGAACAGTTTAGTGAAAATAGGCAGGAACAAAATACCCAAATGAGCGTAGTTACAACCTCACTCAGTGATGGGTGTGTTCACTTCCCTGGTACCGGGCACAGGACACTAGAGGAACTGTTTACTAAGGTGGATTTTAATAATCTGACATGTGACGTACAGTAACCAGGCCAGTTCTAAAAGCTACAGGCTAAAGCAGCTACAGCATGGCTTTCAAAAGGAAAAAGAAGGTAGGCATCTAAAACCATTACAGCATGATGTAGATAGAATTCTTAAACTTCATCTTTAAGATAAATAGTTCTTGAAATATACATAAATGGTGAGATTATGTGAGCTAAAACAAAGTATGTTATTACATTTTGAAATGTTTATTTTACAAAATCAGTAATTATCAGAAAAACTAAACAACACAAGTCATTAGAAGAATCTGGATGAGTGATGAAGGATGTAACGTCTTCAGTTTCCTTCACTGGTCTTCCTAAATGTTGATCCAGAAGAACATCTGGAAAATAAAACAGTACGATTTATTTAAAGTAATGACACACTTATACATATATTGGATGATTAGACTTGTCACAACTTGATTAATGTAAAATCAACTAAAAGAACATGGGATCTTTAAATGTTAATGCTACAAAAAAAAAAAAAACACACTGACCTGTCCGTCACTGCACCAGTCTGTATGTGATGTACCGCCCAGCTGTTTCACTGGGTCTGATGATCTTTACTACCTGGAAAAGTTCAAGAAAATGTGCACCATTTTTAAGCTTGCATGGTATATCCACACTGATGAAAGTCAGGCTTCACAGGCCGTTAATTTAATTAATGTGGGAATGAAACACAAGGGGTTTCTTGTATTGCATATGGGTGCTGGTTTATTCAAATGACAGCTGTTATCACACATTACATTCAGAGATAGGCCATTGTTTATTACATGTCTTGTTTAGTATTTTTGGCCACTCTTCGTATCTATATACCTAATAACTTTATTTACCAAGATAATCGGTGAGATTTGGGAACGCACCACAGCATAGTAGTGAGGCAGTCCCAATAAGAACCACATTGTAATGAACTGGAATTATCATTTAAATGTCTTGTAACATGTAAAGTGGAAAGGAAATGTATTAGCTGACCCAAGATCAAACACACAACACCATGCACCCATGTAATAATGACAATGTTATGCATTATAATAAAAAGAGGCATCTTCAGGATGTGTTTACCTGTCCTCTTTTCAAGCCAAAGTAGCGAGCCACAGGGTCCCCAGCCTGGATCCTCGGTAACTGGCTTTCCTTTAGTTTACTGAGATAAAAATGTTAAGGAAGGATAACAAATATCGAATCACAAATACACATTTGTATTATTTGCGTTATTGTATACAGCTCGATTGCGGTCTAAATCAACTGCTCCTGTATACTTTATTACAAATACAATAATGTACACTGAAGATGTCCACGTTCATTTTCTGCAGGCAAATCTGATTTAAACATTCTTAAATTCAACGACACCAAGCAGTGCAGTGTGTGTAAGGATACTATCTTGCCAGAAGTTCAGTCACTTCCTCTTTCGTCATAACAATGTGCTCTGGAACAAGCTGAAAGACAAAGATAAAATGCATCAAAAACTAAAATGTAATCTTATATCTGAGGCATAACCCATAGGATCATTTTGAAATATATTGTCAAATGAACAGTTTGGTGTGTACCTCATGCTCTGTGATGTTAATAAGCAGCTCCTGTTGTAGAAACTGTTCCAATATGTATTTGGGTGCCATGTCAACTAGAGACTGTAAAGAGACATTTTCCATAAATATTTCACCGAGAGAGGAAGATCCAAAACAGAAAGTACGGGAAATAACAACAACAGAAGTTCAGAAATCACATTCATTAACATTTTCATGTATATTTTTATGTAAGTTTGGTAAATATATAAAATAAATAGATTGTAGGTGTTAACCTGTTTGGCCGACGGTGTCATGCCCATCTGAACAACAATGATGGCTCGTGTGATGTTCTCCTCCTGCATCCTCTGACAGTACATCTTAATGGTCTTGATTCCCACTTTGGGCTCCTCTGAAACATGAAGAAAAGGAAGAGTTATAGAATATGTAACAGGGCACACCTTTATTCACTATTAAACGTTCATCTATGATTCCTGGACAATTTGTGTAGTTGTACTAAGAAATGCTGACCACCTGCTATCTAATATTAGCATACGAACCCACCAGGAAAGAAAACAAACATCTGGTCTGTGGGGTCATCGTTGTGCGCCACCAGCACAGTGAGGTCTGTGCGTCTGGGGCGACCCTCGCTGGGCTTGTCTCCAAACTGACTCTTGAACTCGTCCAGTGTCTGGTCCAACTCGTCCTGTGTCACCAGGTAGCCTCGGTCGTGGCACAGCTGAGGGAGTGCGGGACAAAATATAATGTGTCAAAAGCTAACTAGAAGATCAGAGCTGTCAGCTTCACGTCCTGATTGTAACCCATCACTAAGAGAACTTAGACGGTGATGTGTAGGTCATTATTTAAAGTATAAACTTTACAGTAGTCATATTGTCATCAGTCTGAAGTAGCGCTTCCTGGTAAACTCAACAAAAGGTCTTGTGTACACAAAGTT